CGCTTATGTAGTATGTTACCATATTTGGGACTCTCTGCTCGTGTACTATAGCTATGCTTCCGGACTCTTCTGGTACTGTCTAGGACAATCCGTACTACTCCAGAACGGTCTAGACAGGTCTATGCCTAACTCATCTCTTACTCATCCTATGGTGCGATACGTCGCAATTCTTTCACCATCGTATTATTCATCGCACCATGGTACATGTGACTAACCACTCTTCGATTAGTCATGGACACTTCTCTGTAGTATATAAGGACTTCAGATTGCGTCCTCCCTCTTCAGTCTTTCCTTACTGACTGAAGAGTGAGTACTTCATTACATCTACCTCTAACTTGTAGTTACTTACTTAACCTTTGTAGTCTTGCTTCGACTCTAGGTACAGTTCGTTGCTGCAATATAGTCTTTCCTTACTGACTGAAGATCTTGCTTCGACTCTAGTCGGATCTAATCTTTGTCTTCACAGCCCCGAGTTTATCACGGTGGAATCGAACGATATTCGATCGAGTGTGAGTCCAGTCGCTCAACTTATTCTGAATAGACTTTACTCAGTCCGAGAACTTACAGCACAGTGTGCAATTTGTGGTGTCTTTGCCGTTATCGTAGTTGAGATCCAAGAATCTGGGCTCGGTGCCAGCAGTTATACTTGAACATGTGATTGGTCGTTTGTCTTGTCCTCAAAAGCTCAGTTCAAACGATACGAGTCCAACAGTTTCCTTGTGATTCACTTTGTTTGTACAGTAAGGCAGGAACCCAGTGGACTCGGGCTTTTCTCTTTTCTGCTATCCCGACTGACATCGGCCTCGTAGACACCTCCACAAAGAACCTGGCGTTGATCATCGCCTCGACCCGTCCAGCCTTGCTGCAGTCCCCAACCATCCTCCGACCCCGGCCGAAGGCCCGAGGGCTGGTTAGAAACGTGCGCACGACTTGGACATCACCTCGGTGCCAGATCCCAAACCAATGGGACTGGCGAGCGGCGCCACGGCTAGCGTACTCCGCAAAGCGACCTCGAGCTATGAGCTAGCGTCAGCCATCCGGGTCGCTGGAACGGGATAGCGATGAGGGCGCTCACCGAATGCATCCCTCTAGGCGCTGCCGCGACGTCTCGCGGCATCTGGGCTCCATGCCCGGAGGGATGAACACTGTTGCTCGAGACCGACATGGACGCGTCTTCATGCCGTCCTTGCAATTTGCTGAGGACGTGCATATATGGCGTCGTACGTGCCGTTTTGTTGCCGAATTGGCCCTCTGCAGCTGCGGTCAGCTCACTAGCCTGATACGACCGAAGGCGAGGCAGTTCAGGACTCACCTTAATGTCCCTCCCCCAGGAAGGTCAACATCTCGAGGGCGTGTAGGTGAGGTGATCCGTTCTAGCCGACCAGGAGTCGGCGGTGAATATTCCGGAGCAGGTTGTCGTAATTAAGGAGGTGAAAGTGAGGTCGAAGGCGGGCGGGAACCGCCGGGCACGAATGCCCCGTCCCCGGTTCGATGATGAGTCGGGAGGACGAGTCGGATGAAACAGGAACAGAGGCATCGGAGACTATGGTGGATGTTGCTGAGAGTGAGAGATTGCTAGGCAGAAGAAGAAGTGAATTGCTGTGTTCATATACGACTGCTGGTGATCGATGCTGAGGCGGGATGCCTTGTAGAGAGGCTCGATAGTGGTGGTTGGTGACGAGGAGTGCTGGCCGTCCTGCACTGCCCTTTATACCTCTGCGCGCGGAGGCTGGCGAACCGCTGCTCGGCTCGGGACGAATGTCAACCACTACTTCGATCACCGACAGACTGAGTTCCTTCACGGGAGGCTGCGTTATTCGCGAGCATTGTGCCTTCACAGGAAGGTGATGTGGTTGGGTTTCTTGCGATCGCACCTCCAACAACAGGCAGGCGAGGTAGATTGGTTGGATGTGCCACACCTGGAATTGTTCCCCGGCCGCGGCTGGTCTAGACTGGTGAACCTCTCGATTGTCACCCTTGCAGGCTCACAAACCAGTGTTAGGCGTGACGATTGCCGGTGTCTGGGACCAGACTGTCGGGAGGCTTACCGCTGCATTCGCTCATCGAGAGGAGTGTGGATGGTTGTTGAACTTGCAGACAAACATCATTCACACATAACTCGCATTGCGACCATCCAGTTAAGTGCTCTCTGTGTATTCGGGTACAACGGTACAACGGCATATCCCATGCTTCTGGAAAACTTGTTGAGCGCATCTCCCCATCCTCCCTGTCGCGAGTTTCCAACAGGATTCTTGGCGTGGTGACCGCAGACTTGCGGGAGGTCCTCGAAGGATGGGATCGAGGAGCGTCCACGACCATCGGTGCGACCATGATGCCCTCCCAGCGGAGAGGAATTGTCCAAGCAACTGTACAATGGAGCCTCAGATATTACTTCTCACAGGTGTGCGAATCATCAGCTCACGGAGTGTTTCGGGGGAGAGAAGAAGCAGCCGCCATCGTCTCCGTAGGCCGAAGGGGCAGATGAGACAAGGGGGAGCCACCGCCCAAGCCCGTCAGCCCCACTTGACATACAAACCCCAACACTCCGTAGCACAGGAAGTGCTGGGGGAGATACGCCAGGGCCCACGGAGGACGATTTGGTCGGCGACTGCGTTATTTTCCGCCGGTGGTGGGCGACTGGGAAAACTGCCCTTGAATCGTCAAGGGAGTCAGGTTAAGGCAAAAGGACAAGCATATCAACTCATGCTCACCGAGTGAACATCCTTAGCTGTCACTCATGAGAGATTTTGGCAATTGGCGATTAAACTGCCCGGATGCGGCGACATTCTCGATTCGGGTGTGAGGCAGAAGTGACCTGATGACTGGACAACTCTCCTTGCCGATAGACGGATGAGTAGTAGCAGGGACGAGGCCCAACGTTTGCGTGGATGAGGATAACTAACGTTTGCGTGGATAAGGATAACCAATGTTTGCGTGGATGAGGATAAAGGGGCGACATGCCAACCCGTATAGGAAGTCGAGATGATGAGGATAACCCACGGAGGTGCGGAGAAGATGGTGGTCGGGGGTGAGGAGAGGTTGCGGTGCGGTGCGGGTTCTGAAACCAACGGCAGGGCTGGCTGACAGATGTGATGCCGGGCTGACCTTCACGAGTTTGGGTCCCGCGTGAAGACGATTCTAGTCAACGTTCGTGTGTATTGTTCAGAGGATAGGTTGACTGAATATCCCTGCGACTGGCAGTTGCGCTGGCAGGCTACTGTTCACGAATATCGACTTGCCAGCCTCGTGAAGTTGGTTCTAGACCGGCACGCAGGGGACTACTTCGAGAGCCGAGGTGTGGCAGGTGCATCGCATCCCATATGATTCTATGGGAGATGTGAGACAGAGACGGGCTCGGATTGCTAGAAACGCGAAGACGTCTGAGTGAGATTGCATGTAATCCGGAACAAGGACAAACCTGCGGCTGACGATCGCTCTGTGCATCTATGGAGGATCCGTGCGTACGTAGTAATACTCAGACATAGCCGCTGAGATCCAGGATGGATTGCTCGTAAATAGGTATTGAAGGTATGTTGATCGGCCCAGAAATGAAGCTAAATGCAGAGCGGTATCACAGGCGTCGGTGCAGTAATACGGAGAGAAGATGTGTCAATGTCGCGACGAACAACGCGACGCATGTGCTCGCGTCGACGCCCGGCATTCATGATTCAAAATTGATCCGAGAAGAGCGGGCGAGGCCACCTTTGCCCACATTGTCCACCCTTTCTCTCGTTCGACTGCCATTTCACAGATACACCCTCGCTCGCTGCCATCTCGCGACCTCCCAAAGCTATGGCGGAGCCCAAGGACGACCCGTTCAGAGACGGACACCTGCCTGTAGTGTATATGGCCTATAACCTCATTCGGCGCTATGACTTACGACCCGATGAGAAATCACCCAGACGAAAGGACACAATTGACTGCTTGTGAAGAGAGATTCTCTGGGACTTGGATTATACCAAGATCTCTCCTTCGGGCGTTCGCCTGCTCCGAGGCTCCTCCTCGTCCCCGCTGCCCAGCTGATGCTCCACGTTTTTCTATTCACATAACATAACCCTTGTCTCGAATCCAGCTTGTACTCTTGCAGCGTCGTCCATTAAACGTCTCTTGCGTATCACCCACCCCGGTGCGTGATGCTACATTTTCGTCATCACCAGGTATGACCTCCTCCGAAAAAATGGTCAGACTTCTCATCATACCTGTCTATGTCGTAGATGACGGGATGCACCCGCGACGATGACTCTATGTCGTTCAACATCCTCTTCTCTGGCGCCATCCTTTTTCAGCATATGGGAGGGAACTGCACGGCTTTCAGTCATGCTCGACGTCTGGATGCTGCACGTATAGCGTCCGTCTCTTGAACACGCCAGAAGCGCCTTCTAGTTCTCGTGAGCAGATCCCGCTCCTTCGCTTATGTTTTTCAATCCACAAACCCTTCCACTCACAGTTCTTATGACCATTCTCTCTGGCTCAGTTTGTCCGCGATTTAGCAGAGGGCGTATGTGACCTCGGAAACACGCCGCGTCAGTCGACCTGTGTCGTGGTAGAGCTCAAGTCATTAGGTGTATGATACCAGCGTGCAAAAGCCGAGCGCGACATCTCGAGTGCTTCAAGCATCTTACTCTCCGGACGCGAGTGTGTCCTTCAGACTCGGGAACGATGCGATTATCCATGGCCCTACTTATTCCTACGTGTTGACCCATCGCTGGCTTGCATGTGTCTTCACTTATGACCCTTCCATTGGTATACAGGCGAGCTTCATCTCTCGCACTCCTCATGTAGAACAGCTGAGGCTCTCCTCTTTGTGCTCGGAATATTGCTGGCAGCTTTTCTTCCTCAGGACTCCCGGGCGCCGTGTTCGATGGGGCCTGTGACCCTGCGATTCCCCATAGTCGCTGCCGACATTCTCCAGACCGCATATACTCATGTCTATCCGTCCACCTTCTTTAGACTCCTTAGTGTCTTAGCAGCTGCTTCCTCGGCATCGCTCCCTCGGTGTCTGATAGGAGCAAAGGTCACAGATCCATTCTGCCTCCGTCACCTGCTTCAACATCCCGAATCCAGCCCTCATTCTGCCTCAGGTATGCAGCCTCTCGATCCGTAGTTCTCGCGAAGCTGAACCTACTTCGGTAGCGGTAGCTCCTATAAATGTGGCTCGCTCAACGCCATCTCCTCGTAAGCTACTCCCCTTTGAGGTCTTCCAGCTCGCATATTCGTGATTATCTTGCAGTGTGAACTCCAACGCCATGCTTTCCACTGTCCTCATCCTTGCCTGCGTTGTCGCTCCCGCACTCAGTGCGACCTATTCGCAGACTGACAGCTTCCAAGGCAACGACTTCCTCTCCGGCTTCACGCACGAGGCCATCGCCGACCCCGCCCACGGTCGAGTGTAAGTCTTCCGATTGATCTGACAAATTCGAGATGGTGACAGTGTGTTCGGTCGATCATGTAGGAACTATGTCGACCAGGCGACCGCGCTCGCACAGAACCTTACCTATGCCTCGGGCGATACACTCATTCTCCGCGCGGACCACACGACGGTGCTCAGCGCGAGTGGCGCTGGCCGTAACTCTGTCCGGCTGCAGAGCAACAAGGTGTACTCAAACCATGTGCGTACCTCATGGTCCTGTCACCGCGATCCCGCTAGGTAGATGTGAAGCTTACGACCACGCTGCCGATAGATGGAACATCCGGCACATGCCTCAGGGCTGCGGGTGAGTCGCTCATGCTTCGTCCGGGCTACAGCAAGCTCCTGGACCGACGTCACCGTCAAAGTACCAGTCCAGATGCTGGCTGGGATTGATGTGCGTCGTCTTGTCTGACACCTCCGTATCCGTTTGTAGGACATGGCCAGCAGTGTGGGAGGTTGGCCAGGATTGGCCCAACCAAGGTGAGTCTTCCGCCCAAGTGCAGGCACTTGTGAGCTCACTAGTAGTCTGGCCACGGACTTGTCCTGATCGGTAGGAGAGATCGATATCCTTGAGGGCGTCAACGACCACGGGTCTGACCAGGCCACGCTCCACACCAACTCGGGTTCGTCAAATGTGTTCTCCTGCTTCGTCCTCCGCACGCTCAGATTTCCCTGACCGTACCCGTGCCCTGACAGGCTGTACGGTCGGAGGGACACGCACTATGACCGGGACCTCCACCGGCGACAATTGCGACGTCAACGCGACCGGCAACAGCGGCTGCGGCGTGACCTCCACCGACGCATCCTCGTACGGGCCAGCGTTCAACGCTGCTGGAGGTGGCTTCTACGCGATGGAGCGCTCGAACTCGGGAGTGAAGGTCTGGCTCTGGTCGCGGAACAGCGGGTCGATCCCCAACGACGTGCTCAATGGCGGGACGAGCGTCGACACGGACAAATGGGGGACGCCGTTGGCGGACTTTCCGAGCGCTTCGTGCGATATGGCCTCGCACTTTGGGCCGCACAACATCATTATCAACCTTACCTTTTGTGAGCAGCGTTCTCCGTGCTCACAATCTGCTGAGTAGACTGACCAATATATTTGATAGGCGGTGATTGGGCTGGTGCGGTCTTTGCCAACGATGGCTGCCCCGGGGACTGCACTAGTACGCGTGATCCCTGTCTCTCTTCGCTATTCCCAGAGGCTCATCAAATATTATATCCAGCATACGTGGACGAGAACCCTAGTGCATTCATCAATGCGTACTTCGACGTCGCATGGCTCAAGGTTTATCAGTGAATGTTTACTTCCGTTATACCCTGTGTCTGTCCCTTTTCCGCCTCGCGCCATCACTTTCTTCACGATGTTGTGATATGTCTCTCTCTGTCTTTTCCCCTGCCTTTCTTTGTGATATCGAACCCGTCTTTCCCCTGCTTCTCGGGCACTGGAGCTGATGCAGAAGCACTTTGGATGGCTTGCGAAGGCATATCAATGTCCTATGCTCCAGAGCGCGCTGCACAAGTGTTTGCATAACGGAGTCAACGATGCTCGGTTGATGTGTATTATGTGTCTGGTCGATACCAATCCCTCTGACTGTACGAAGCGTTTCTTTACATGGGTAACGTTGTCCGAGTTGACAAGATTTTGTATTATCCAGTTTTTTTGCCGAGCGGCAGAAAGACAGCGAACTCGGGATGGCTGCACTCATGCGCGTCCGGGGCTTTTCGCAATATTCCCGTCTGACGTCAACCTCACCAACCCTCGACTACTACCGACGATCCATTGAAATCCATCGTTCAAAACCTTCCCCGCCGCACTTCCAGTCCTCGATCCACACCCCGGCCGAAGGCGAGGAGGAGGAGTGGGAGTGCACGCGCGACCATGGACGCACCTCGACGCCAGTCCCATTCATTAGAGACTGGCGCACGACTGTCTTGCTTGCGGCCGACCTCTGATATACGGTGTCAGGCTGATGTTCGTCGCCAACTAGTCTTTGAAAGCTGCTCACCGAGTGCTCCTTCCTACAAGGCTGCCGCGCGACATGCGGCTTGGGTCGGTGCCATTGTGTAGGAAGGACGCTATCCTCGAGCGCGAGAGACAGCAGGTGTCGTCCGCGTAGGCCGTGGGGGCTGACCAGACCTGGCGCCAAGGTCCGCCAGCCACCCAAACGCACGCTCTCTAGCTACCCGACGTCTCGGGATGCTAGGGAACCATACGTCCGCTAGCGGGTAGGGTATCTTGATGCCGGAAACCAACGAATTGCTGAAGGTGGTGAGCGGCTGTCGTTGGGCGGCCGCGATCACCTCCACTACGATGGAGCGAGTCAGGCTCGGACACAGAACAAGAGACTCGCTGTCAACACGTACCTTGTGTCCCTCTCCCGGGTGCTGCCGCGCGTCATTTGCGGCTTGGCGTGAGTCGTAGTGACTGAATATTCAGGAGTGGACGGATTGTTCGATGGTGGAAGGCGACGATGGACTCGTCCCGCAGCTAGCGGAAGAGGGTGTGTTACCGCTTATGCTGTCGGTTCGTCTGATAGTAGGATTGTGAAGGTAGACATGTGCGGCAATGGTACCCCTTCCCTCATCCAATCTCGAGTTGGGAGGCTAAGTCGGGGGGTACAAGAACCGAGACATGATGATGAGAGGCGAGGCTGCGTCTGCCGGGGAAGAAGCTGGTATGCCGAGGTGTATGCTGCTGGGGAAGAAACTGGTATGCTGATGTATATGCTGATGCGTATGCTGCTGGGGAAGAAACTGGTATGCTGAGGCGTATGCTGCTAGGACGAAGTCGGTATGCTGAGGTGTATGCTGCTGGGGTAGAAGCTGGTATGCTGAGGCGTATGCTGCTTGGTAGACGATGCTGGTAGTAGGTGAGGTGGGATGAGCGTAGTGGCCGGCTCTTTATACTCGTGTCTGTGGTGGCTGGCAAGCCGCTTCTCGGTTCATGTCGAAAGTCAACCACCGCAGCGTATTCTTGGACAACCAGTCCTGTGTCGTGGACACAGCCTCGCGAGGCCGAGGCCTTGAGTTTCCGGACATACCTTCACAGATATCGAGCTGCCGGACGTGTGAGGTGGTTTGCGGCTGGCATCTGCCTTATTAGGAAGGCGTCAGCAGAGATCGATTCCCTCAGCCCCGAGGAAGCGACAGACAGCGAATCTGACCTGCTCCATGTGATTCCATGAGCCAAAGAGGCCCATTCAGACCGGTCTACCCCCCATAGACTCCGTCGATCCTCGCCAGCTTGCTATGGAAACTTTGCCTGTGATATCGGGTGCCGATTCTCATCGCAAGTGCTCTCGTAGCAGCCACTCTTTCTGCCGACTCAAAGCAACGTCTGACAAGGCAGATAGCACTGTGAAATATTCGGGAATGTGCCAGGAAAAGACCACCGCCATGATAGCCTATGGCTTCGTACGTCAGCCTCCATTTACTCTACTTGCCAGGTGGACATCGCACTCACGGACCTTCTCATGATCACATTCAGGGCCGACCCGTACGAGTGGTTCACACCAAAGCCAACATTCGAGCATCACACGATGTTCAGTTCATGGAGCCAGCCAGATCGATGGAGAGATCCGATTGATACGTCTGAATGTGCGACAGAGGGATGCAACATGCGGAAACAGCGCCTTCTGATCATGGTATCCCCCACATCCGGAAACAGACCCACAGACCGAGTCTAGGTGAAGGACTGGCACTGGCAACTCGTACGGGTAGGTGCAGTTATGACACTCGTGTAGACTGGCGAGATTTTGCCCAGCACAACGGACCGAGATCACCGAATGTCAGCCAGAGATCTCTCCTACAATCATGGGAGCCAGCTTACCGAAGGCTCCGAGGGCGAGAGAAGAAGACAGCCGCTACCGTTCTCATGGGCCGGTGGAACCGACGAGACAAGGGGGAGCCACCCCCAGAATCCATCGGCCCACCTAACACACACGACCAGGCCGCGACGTCTCGGAGGTCTCCCGGATGCAGATTCCAGCGGCCACAGGAGGTGGCTTTGGCGGGCAACATCACATCCTGCAGACGACCGTCAGATATGACACCTCCGGACAGGATACAAAGGATACCTACTAAGCTGAACTCCTTAATCTCCATCGGGCACTATGCTCTACCTTGCTGAACGGGTAGTGACGAGGTGGCATGCTTGCCTCAGTCGGTGGGCTGGGATGTTCAAGGTGATTGCGGTCCATATCGTCGAACGACGCTACGGGGTGAGCGAAGACGAGGATCAGGGCCACGAGACCGAGGAGACTTGAAAACGACACATACCTGACTGGCATATAGTGCCGTGAGGACAAGCCGGAGGAAAATGTCCGCATTGGTACTGCGTCCACTCGGTGTATGTGGGGAGTTGATGCGCGAAGTGGTTTGACCGGCGAAATAGCTGCAGATGCGGAGAAGGTGGTGGTAGGGGTGGGCAGACATCATCATGTAATGCAGGCCTATATACTGCTAGCAGGGCGGGCTGACCGGGTGTTTCGGCGGTTGGCATCTGGATCCCTTCACGGAGGTTGGCCTGTGTGACGGTGGTTCTGGACGAGGTCCATGATGCCGAATCAGGCGAGTATGTGGTTTGCATGTCAAGCTCGCACCCCAAACGTCCAAGGAGCCGAGATGCTGCCGTATACTCCCTCCATGTGATTTTCTGGTCAAAGTGAACCCCACATACTCAAAAGATCCTCTCCCCCTTCGTACTTCAACGCTGGGCGCATGGCGCGATGCGCTAAGCCGCGGCACCCTGCCTATGAAGTAGAATGGTTGGACTTCCTACCGTACCGCCCTATCCTCTTGAGAAATTAGAACTACCTAGGGCAAAGTGAGCACTATCGCTGAGAGGAACACATCCAGATGACTTACGTCTGGGAGAAGCGACGTAACGTTCCTTCGGCGGTTTGGGGCGTCCTACGGACAGATACTCCCCAAGAATCGAAGCTGAAGGGCGGGCTGGCGTGGATATACAAGGCAATTCCTCAGCAGCAACTCATGAGACCTAGTGAGCATAAGGTCATATGCAAGCCCTCAGCCCGAGTTCGTGAGCTGGGGCTATTCGGGATAAGAGTCCCGCTGTCGCGGTCGCATCATGGACCGATGGCTGCTCTGGGCCGCTGAGGAAACTAGAATCGGCTCTGCTCTCGCTACAGCAAGCGGGACCGAGAAGCCCGTCCGCAGAGGTAGGTTTGGATATCTGATCATGTTGACAGTCGACTGACCGTCAAAGCGTGGAATCAACAGGTAGATAGCAGCCACATCGTGGGGTGTTGACTGACCTGGATCTATACCTCAGGCTCCCAGGCACCTCTTGCCTACTGTCCCATCGCCGTTGCATCTGCGCTATGAGTGTCAAACCACTGGCCTCGGACGACACGCCAACCCACTTCCCTACCCGTAAATATGGATCGTCAGGCCTTTGAGCTAGTCGGCAAACTCGGTACTATATCCGAAAGCGAAGCAACAGATGGGAGTCATGGTGTGTAGTATACAGCATAGATATAGACCGAGAGCATACACGGGGCGGGGGCACGCATAAACCATGCAAATCTGCATGAACGCGAACAAGGACATGAGCGTGAGTGGGGATGTGCTTGTGGATGCAGACGGAAGGTGACGTGGGGCGAGAGGAGTCGTTAGTGGTGGGAAAGCAGTATCGACAACAACATCCGACAGTCAAAATTGAGCGGACCCACTCAGGGAGTTCCGCATAATGTAATACCCAACATATGGCAACAACAAAAGAATCTGGGACGGTAAGGGAATCAATAGTAGGGCAACAAGCGCACGAGAGGAACGAGAAAACGCTGGAGACCGTTCAACCTGTTGGCGCAACAGCGATGGGGTAGCCGCCCCTTCCCCGGCCACGTCCGCGGCCAGCCTGCATGCGCACTTGCCCAGTGCCGGGGACGGCACCGCGGAATGACCTGGGTCGGTAAGGTTGTGGTTGCTGCCACACGCCTGGCGCTGCTCGGGGAAGAAGGGGGAACCCGTCGGCGTCTGTCGAGAACATGGGCGCGGTTACCACGACGTTGTTCGCGTGGGGGAACGAAGTGGGGGATCGGTAGTTCGGCCCCAGACTCGGAAGAGGGCTGGGTGAGGGCGATGGAGAATGCTCCTTCGCGCCCGGAACGAAGGACGAGGCCGACGGAGAAAGCGGTCGCTGCGGTCGTGTGCGGTTGTTCCGCCAGCGACCCCGGACGGGCCGCTGAGAGGGATCGTGCCCATTCTCAGCGTCCACCGCCTTAGGTAGTCGAGGGGGCGGCGGTGGACCGGGATCGTAGTAGGGGTTGAACGGGTGCCATATCACGCCGGAGGAGGGCTGGTAAAGCATACCCGAGATCGTGTCAAACGAGTACCATACCCTGTGGGGCACTGGTGACATGGCCGTAGCCATCTCGGCTAGTCGTTTGTATAGTACCAGTCCAGCATGACAGTCGTTGGCAGCATCTGGAGTGAATGATAGACAATCAGCACTGACGCCGTGGTCAGAGGGCAGGAATGGGTCCACGCACATTCTTGCTGACGCAAATCAAGGGGCCGCTCCCAGTTGCTCGTCTGGATCTTACCCTTGTTGAGGGTAAGGTCCTCATACGTCTCGCAGAGTCGTGAGAGACCGATAGGATTCGCGTACTTGCCCTTCCATCGGGCATTGTCCACAGTACGAGCCAAGAGCGAGAGGTCCACGCAGTTACGAGTATCCACGCGGTGATCGATCCACAACTTCTTACAATCCTCTAGAGATCAGGTTAGTCGTGTTTAGGGGAGGCTGCGGATATGACTCACTCTGTATTCCTACACCAGCCTTAACGACGTTTGGATCCAGCAGCAGTTCCTTCAGCTTCTCAGGGAAGGCTGCTTCGAAGGTTGAGGGATGATTCGAGCCGGGGAATGTAGAGACATACCGTGCATGAAGGAAACATGAATAAGGAGTATGGTGTCTTCGCTTGCGAGCTGAACCAGTGCAACCGGGTTCTCAGGGTTGCCCTTGATGAAGTTCGGCCTCCACTCTAGGTCGAACCCGAGTACTTTAGAGTCGAGCTGAGAGATAGCGACATCGGCAGTGATCGGGTTCTGGATGTAGACCAGACGAGTGCCAGGGGACTTGGTAGCGTAAGAATAGAAGTCATAGACCCGAGGGGGCTCCTCAGGCTGTGCCGAGTCGTTGGACTGGCTGTCCGAGGAAGAAGCGGCAGTCACGACCATGTCGGGAGAGAAGGAGGATGCTTGGAAGGCAGACATTGAACGGGTACTTGGACGGTGATAGACTTATACGGAGACCATGAAAGAGAAAGTGGAGTATGGAACAAGGTATCCAGTGCGACCTGACAGTGACGGCGCGATGTGATCGGCGGTTGCAACAAGGCCTCCTTGAAGGTCGTGGGCGAGATCCGCTCGAAAAAGAGCCGCAGAGACAGGGAAGATAAGAAAGGAGGAGAATCGAGACGGACGGTGGACGGAGAACGGAGGCGGCTGTGGTAAGTAGAGGCCCTGGATGGGCGGCAGAGTCCGGTTCAGTCTGTCTCTCAACTCTAAAATGGGCGCTAGCCCTGTATGGTAGGTCACGTGTGCGTGCTGTAGAGTCGTGGCTTATGTAAGCAGCACGCGACGCGTCATCTTGGAACTCTTGATCTCCTTCAGACAGACGCGTCGTTCTCAGTCCCAACCACCACACCACACTCTAGTCATGGTATATTCTTGAATAATTTTCATGCGCTGCTTTATGCTGAATGCTGAACTTGTAGCTCATTCGAATCCGATCAAGAGACGGCAACTTTCGCTTCGAGTTCCAGCCCACGAGCGATGTATCGGAGCTGATTGCAAAGGTCATTCGGTTTCGCATAGCTCGCGGACGTACGTCTCACAGGTACTAGATCCTAGAAACGGCACCTGAGGCAGATCCGCACACCGTCACGATCTCCAACCAGCCGCGCGGTAACGAAGTCCCTGTCACGACCTTAACAGGCCGGAACCTTCAGTCGCTCGGTTTCAAGTACGTCCTATCGTGCCCCCCGTTACCGCAGATGCTCATGCTGCGGTATCTCTGGAAGACATGGAGATCTTCTCTTCGTTGGCTATCAGACTCGCTCTGCACCCGCACCAGAACCGAGCGTTACCGTAGTAACTGCGACCACCGCGGGGGCCGCTCGTCCTTGGGAAGGCGTAGAGGAAGACGCGGTAGACAGGTATTGGCGCTCGCAGGAGGGTAAGATCCCGCGCCCGCGCGACACTCGCTTCTGCAAGCACGGGGCAAATGCCATGTGCGACTACTGCATGCCCTTGGAACCTTACGATGCCGAGTACCACGCGAAAAATAGCATCAAACACCTCTCGTATCACGCTTACGTCCGCAAGAACACCCCCAAAGCCTCCTCGTCCGCGTCCGTGACTTCCATCCTCCCTCCCTTGACCCCATCTTCGTACAAGGTCAAAGTCCCATGTCCTACTGGCGGGCACGCGCCATGGCCAGCCGGTATCTGTACCGGATGTCAGCCTTCCGCCATTACCCTTCAGAGCCAACCGTTCCGGATGGTAGACCACGTTGAAATCGCATCAGAAGATATCATCGAGAGGTTCTTGCAAGCATGGCGAGTCACCGGGACGCAGCGTTTCGGTTGGCTCATTGGACACTACGAGCCTTATCCTGACGTGCCCTTGGGTGTCAAGGCCGTGGTCGAGGCGATTCACGAACCGCCGCAGCAAGGAGAAGTCGACGGTTTAGAGCTTGGCCTACCCTGGGAAGATGAGCAGCGGATACGTCAGCTTGCCAAGCAGGCGACGACGCCCCTGCAGATCGTGGGATACATCTTCACCGATCTCCAACCTGAGGAAGAGGACAGGACGAAGGTCAAGTACAAGCGGCACCCACAGTCGTTCTACTTGTCTTCGTTGGAGATCATCTTCGCAGCTATCGTTCAGAACGCGAACCCCTTGCCGAGCAAGTCATCCTTCACCGGCAAGTTCGGCTCACGGATGGTCACGGCGGTGCTCACTGGTACCGCGGAGGGTGGTGTGGACATCTCTGCGTACCAAGTTTCCGAGCAGGCTTGCGCAATGGTTGATGCGGACATGATCGAAGCGAGCGTCGATCCCGGGATCATGCGGGTGAAGGAGGAAGATGACACGCGATACGTGCCCGAGGTGTTTTTCCGGTACAAGAATGAGTACAACTTGGATGTGCAGAAAAACGCGAAGCCCTGCTTTCCGGTGGAGTACCTTTTGGTCAACGTAAATCTTCTTCCCATCTCTATCCGTGCCTGATCTCACGCATGGCGATCAAGGTCTCTCATGGATTCCCTCAAAATCCTTCCCCCCTGTTCCGCTCGACGCAATACAAGATCGAAAACAGGCCGGGTTTGGAGGATCAGAGCATCGAGAGCGTGCTGCACCGACTCGCGGAGATCGACGCGTACGACGTTCACGAGAGCTCGCAAGGGGGCGATCGCCAGAAACGGAAAACACTTGCGCGCTTCCTCAGCGACTGGCACTTGGTCGCGTTCCTCGGCACTACCGGCCTCGTCAGTGCGGTAAGTCCTTTAATCGTCCACACGAGGGATGCGTGAGCCTCATTTGCCTGCGCACTCAGAATGACATGCAGGTCATCATCCGGACGGCGACCGCGCCCAATTTGGAGGACGACAAGGTGCTCGACGATCTCGTGCGAACAGAAGGCTGGCTCACGCTCATGACGTTCGCTCGGGAAGCAGCGCGTAAGTTCTTTTTACGCCATCGCGATCTTGTGCTGTGCCGAACTCTGTCTTCTTTCAGCCAAACGCCCGACCAGTAGCCCCCTGCCGCCGTCCTCGAGCGGACATGTGCCGATGGACACGGACGACATACCTCCGGAGGTGTTCGACCAGATCGCGCGGGAGAGCGGACCTGCGCCTGGGGGAGGCGGCGGTGCTGGTGCAGGGATCCGCATCTGCCCCCACTGTACGTTCGAGAACACTCACGGAGGGACTGACTGCGAGATCTGCGGATTGCCTCTATGAAAGGACTGGATGCGCACGCTGACGATCTTGTGGACGGTCGTGTATTTCGGAGAGAGTAAGTAGTACAACGCATCTGTACACTATGTACCACAGCACGCCCAAATTTTCATACATCACACTGCAAAACCGTCGATCCGGGCTGGATGATTGGGACGTGAGGACGCGTCGCGTCGCGTCGTGGCAGGGGATGGGGGATGGCACGTGACGGCGTCTGGCACACCAGCGGGCGTTCGAGTGTCGCCATCGAGGGGTGGGATGGCGCATTCTGCTCGTCGCCGCCTATCATGGCGGTGGCCAGTGCGACAGCTTGCGTTGGCGTTGCGACGTCTTGCAGCGATTGCAAATCGTCTGTATCGCGCTATGGGGGCGTGCTGCCCGCGGAGAGCCAAGGCAGAATCCCACTTGCCCATTCGTCACGGACCCTTTCGCATTTCGTGCTCGCAACCGCACTCTCTCTTCCCCCGCGGGACACGCAGCTTGGAACCCTCGACACGCGCCGCTGGCGAGGCCGGATCTCTGCATTTGCCAATCGCTCGCGCATCGCACTCCCCTCGGGCCCCCACGCCGCTGCTCCCGGGCCTGTTATACTGCACGAGCGTCGAGTATGCCGGGGCTACTTCTGGAAGACACCGTCAGCCCGAGCCCGAAACATCACAGCCCTAGCCCAAACCCAGTCCACGCTGGCGCGACAGCCGCACGAGACGTCGACATGGAACCGCGCCACGCTCCCAACCACCCTTCGGGCGCAGGATCGGCCAAGCACACGGGGCGACAGCGGCGTACGCGATCGGCGAGCCAGCCGGGACATGCGCCCCAGCAGCAGGCCGCCCAACAGCCGCACCAACAGCAGCAGCAGCAACAGCAGCAGCAACAGCCAGCGACGGGGCCGAGCATACCGCGGGTAAGTACGTCTGCACTTGCGGCTCGTCTGCGCCCTCTTGGCAGCGGGCCTGACGAGATCCGCCGCTGGCGCGTCTTCTGGATGCTTATCTCTGCCCACTCCACTCGCAGCTGTCCGAAATAGACTTTGGGCTCATGCAGCCCCCGTTCGGCGGGGCCGGGGGCGGGCCCGGGCCAGGCGGGATGTTCCAGATGCCCGCGGGGTACGACGAGGACGCGATCAGCCGTGCGCTGCGCGCCATGCAGGACGGCGGGGTCGGCCCGCCCCAACAACCGCAACAGCACAACCCTCGGCCGCACCCGTCGCCCGCGCCCCTCATGGGCCCCCCGCAGGTCCCGATGCAGGCCGCGGGCGGGGGCAGCCCCCCGCCGCCGCTGACGGAGATGTTCCTCGCTGCGCTCCCGTGGCTGCACTTCCTGCAGGGGCAGCAGGGCGCCCCTGGCCAGCCGCCCCAGCTCCATCCGCACGCGCTACCACAACAGCAGCACGGCCTCCCGCACGCGCACCAGTCGCAACAGCAGCTCCCGCCGCTGCACCTGCATCAGCAGCAGCAGCAGCAGCAGCCCCTCGCACCTCCCCAGTTCGGCGCGATGCCGCAGCGGCCGTCGTCGCAGCCACAGCAGCAGCAGGCGGGGTTCGGCTTCCTGTCCCCGCCGCACCAGCAGCAAGCGGGCCACAGCTTCTCCGCGGGGCACTTCGGCACCCTGCCTCCGTCAGAGGCGTCGGGCTCCTCCCAGATGGAGGGCATCATCCCCGGGCCGCCGCCTATCGCACGGTCGGCGTCGGCGAGCAATACGCCTTCGCCCGAGGCAGGGACACCGCTGGAGCCGACGGAGGCGGAGGCGACTGCGATCGCGGAGGACAAGAGGAGGCGGAACACTGCTGCGTCAGGTGCGTGTCGTTTGCGAGCTCTTTCGTACCCGCCCCGTCCTCTTGTACCCCTGCCCGCCCGCACCTGCACACGCGCTCGATCCTCCGCCTGTAAGGCGCGGAGGGTGTCTGCGTGCGCCTTCGCGCTTTACGCATGAGCTGGGGGGTTGCATCGGAACGCCTCCTGCTGCGCGTCGAATCACGCAAGCTACCGTCCTATGGCGTGACTGAGGGAGTAGAAGCGGGAAATGCCCGCGCAGGGTCAAGTGCACGTTCCGCTTCTACTCTCCTCTAGACCGGGCTCCGGAGTGCTGGAAGCGACGTACCAATTCCCCTCCCGTTCGATACAGTCTTGTGCCGCGTCCCGTCCTGACAACATGTATATGCAGCGCGGTTCCGGATCAAGAAGAAACAGTGGACCCTGAACCTCGAGCGCACGATCTCCGACTTGTCTGGGCGGGTGGAAGAGCTGGAGCGCGAGGCGTCGGAGCTGCGTCGCGAGAACGGGTGGCTGAAGGAGATCGTGATGCTGAAGAGCAAGCGTCTGTCGGGCGTCGTGCCCGAGCTCGAGCCTGCACCGTCGTCGAGCTCCGGAGGCGGGGGAGGAGGAGCGAGTGGAAGCGGGAGCGGGAGCGGGAGCGGCGGACCGGCAGGCCAAGAGAAGCCGCCGGAGCAGGAAGGCAGCCGGGAGACGTCAGAGGAGGAAGATCAGCAGCGGACTGAGGGCGGCGGCAGACATGACAAGGGAAAGGGGCGGCAGCGGCCTCCGTGAAGTGCTCGCTGCGTTCAGGGGGTCGCTGGGGCGGGCGAAGGCACTATCTTGCGTACGGACGTTGGGCTGCAGGCCTATGTACTAAGTACTACATCCGAATTCCGAATTGCTGCTCGGCCTATCTTGAATTCCGAATTCCCCTGCCGCGCCGTTCCTGCCGCGGTGCTGGTGCGGGTGCACGTGAGCGCTTGCCCTCTTGCGCTACTCCGCGCTCGAGCGCGTCACCCGTCGATAGTCGTGTGCCCGTCCTCCGCTTGCCTGCAGACGGTGATCTCTGGTCCTTCGCACTCGCCACCATCTCGCGCCATGTCCTTCGGTCGGCCTCCATCGCTCTCAGGCGGCTTCTCGGTGTCTCCACCCGTACGTCGTGCAATGCGCACCTGATCGACTCTGGCGTAACTCAATCGTCTCCAGGACCGAGGGTCGTTCCCTCTAGACCACTATGGTGCGCCTATCGGGTCGCCTTGCCGGAAAACTTGACTCACCCGGACCGTGCTTCGTGTATTAGGGGAGTGCAAGCAGTATATGCAGGGGTACCTCGACTGCTTGCGCAAGAACACTAACAACTCCACCCCCTGCCGACATCTGAACAAGGAGTATCTGGAGTGCCGCATGGCCCGGTACGTCGTCTCCTTTGCTTTCCAAGAGCTTTGTATGGCGAGTTGACGGGATGCTCGTTCAGCGGGCTTATGGATCGAGATGAGTGGAAGAACCTGGGTCTCGGTAATGTCGGTGCATCAGACAGCAATACTGTGGCGAAAGACAACCCGAAAGACAGGCCGAATGCCGTCTGACACCTCTCTTCACCGTTCTATCATACATGTTGCTTGGCCGGCTGTCTGCATACACCACTCTCTTTGTAATACCACCCGTCACCCCATTCTATGAAACATGCTTGCTGCCTCCGCCGGATACCCAATCAAAGCTGAATGCTCTGACTGTATGCAAGCAATATGGACGTCCGCAGCTATCTGTACGTCGTCTCATGCTTGACCGCTGGCCTTCGCTAAACATGGCAGGACTGTGGCCTCATCGATCATCCTTGGGCGGCGTTGGTCCCAGAGCCCTGACGCTGATGCTATCCGAGTTGCGTCTCATACCGGCATGCTGTGCAGCACGTTCGCTTGCGATAGGCTTGCTCCCCGCCCATGGGATGCCGCCCTAGCCACCGCACGGCGAGATGCGCGAGAAAATCCTCTCCTCGGACGTATGCGGTTTTCTCCTCTTGCCGCATATGGCTCGAGAGCTGCCATATACGGCAGATCTTCATAAACGTTCGTTGTGCTCCTGGCCCGGCCGCGAACTTGGGAACGTGCGATGGCCCGCGAGGAGTCTCCGTCGAATGCGCATCGGCGCGCCTGAGCTTATGGAAGCGACGGGACTCCTGCGACAGATGCCATACATCATCCGCTCGCTTATATTCCCGAGCGGACCCTTGCCGGTCTGACTGAACCGTTTCGCCCACTCGCCCGGCTGCAGCTGACCCCAACCATGTTCGCCCCCTTTGCCTTTCTGGCCAACGTCGCGAGCGAGGCGCTGCTCCTCGTTGCGTCGGCCGCCCCCGTCGCCCCAACGCAGATACCCCTCGACGCCGCTCGCAGCACGGCGCAGGGCTACAGCCGCTTTTATGACGTCCAGGTGTGGCCAGATTGCCTCGTCGATGCTTTTACGTATTGATCGCTGAGCGCCACGTCGTACGCAGGCCCACCGAGGAGGTCGAGGAAATACGGTAGAGAACACGCTGCCTAGCTTCGCGTGGTGAGAGGCATTTTGCGCTGTCAAACGTCATTCAGGAATCAGAGGCTGACTGGGTTCACGGGACTGTGGTGTTCGTGCTCGTGTTGGCCTGGTGCTGGTGGCGTCCTCCTGGATGCAGGGGCCTCATTGACGGCGCGTCGACGCTCGAGCTCGACAACGGCATCACGAAGGTGAATCATCCCTGCCTTGCTCCTGCGTGAGCGCCCTTGCGAACTGCGATGCAGGACGGGTACGTCGTCGTCTGGCACGACGAGGAGATCACCCCCGCAAAGTGCAAGGATACCCAGCCGGCGGTACGTACTCCCTTCCTGGAATTCGCGCGACCGTGGCCCGAAGGAGTAACTCCGGCAACGCAACCCACAGTTTCCCGGCGATCCCGACTTCCCTTACGTGGGCAAGTACATCGCGAACCTGACGCTCGCGCAGCTCCGCACGATCGACTGTGGCTCGAAGCGCCAGTATGGCTACCGTGAGTACGGATGCTCGTACGCAGGGACTGGATGCTGAATGGAGCCGATGGGCACTACGTCATCCAGCGATGCAGTTGACTTTCCCGGGCACGCGGATATCCACGATGCAGGAGGTCTTCGACTTCGTCCAGTGCGCGGATCCCGCGCATCAGGTCCTCTGGAACATCGAGTCCAAGATCGATGCGCGGTACCCGAACCGGACGTTGGGGGTAGACGACTTCGTGGCCAGGCAGTACGAGCTGTTCAGCAGGAGCCCGTACAAGCGTTCCATCACGGTCGGTCCTTCGGTTTCCCACGTGCAGGCGTAGGAGACGAGATGCTGACAAGGACGCTGCAGTACCAAAGCTTCGACTGGCGCACGCTTGTTGCCATGAAGGAGCTCGACCCTTCCATCCCCACCTCTGCTCTCATCGAGGAGTGAGCACTTTCTGCTACGCGCCAAACCGGGCCTTTCCCTTACCCTCCATCGACCACAGTGAGACCGCGTTCAACCCGGACAACAGCACCAGCCCGTGGCTCGCCGGCCTGCGTCTCGATTCGTTCCCGGGGCCGTCGATCTTCCGACAAGTCGCACAAGCCGCGCACAGCATCCGGGCAGACGTCCTGTCGCCTGCTGCTTCGGCATCCGAGACCCCTGTGCCTGACCCCGAGATGGAGGGATATGTGCCGTTCACGACGAGGGAGATGATCGATCACGCTCAGCGGCTCGGTCTCAAGGTCAAGCCGTGGACAGTACGTAAACCTCCACACCGGAGATAGAAGGTCATCTGTGCTCACGGTTCCTCTATAGGTCAACAGGCTGAACATCGTCGAGCAACTCCTGGACTGGAACGCGGATGGTATCATTACGGACTGTGAGTCCGCACCTGGTGGGGGCTTTGCTCCTAGCTGACTGGACTCTCCCATTCAGACCCCAATCACGTTCGCCGCTTGGCGAAGCACAGAGGTCTCCCTGTCGCACCCAAGTACCCGAAGCAGCGTGTGTTGTCATGTCTAGAGGAGCATCTCGCGAAGCAGCTGCTCCACGTTTGATGCGGAGAATGTTCGACTCGTATATCATGATGAGTTTAGGAAGCTGCGAAGGACACTAGACTACTGTACTTGTAGTAGTTCAGATCTTACATAGAATAGACACTTAGATACCCAACTTGTCCCAACATCTACATGGAATCAAGTAGAATGGGCTTTTCTTTGCAGTGGCCGGTGCGAGAGTCGAACTCCTGCACTATGAAGTCGAGACGAAGTCTGGCTGTATGCGGGCCGGCCAATGGGAGACTCCGGATTGAGCAGACGCCGGCGGAAGAGAACGGAGAGGGTCGGGTGAGCGTCTGAATCAAAACTCCGCCCCGTTTGAGCTCGTCACTACGCACAGCGAGCTCGTCGCTCGATACCTTCCTTACCGCCATGGCTGCCGTCCACTTCTCCAAAAAGGCCGTGACCATCCCCACCACCGTCCGCACCTTCGCATCGGGCGTCCCCGTTGCCCCCCTTGTCAACCTCTCTGTCCGCCAGCCCGCCGGCCACGGGCACGACCACGGACATGGCGCTGCTGGCCCTCGCTCTGACGTACCTGCTAAGTGGGTGACGAGGGTATCCCGGTCTCCTTCGGGCCTCGTCTCGCGGTCATTTGCAAGTGGTGAGTAGCCATAGCCGTGTTCCAAAACCCATCCGGAATGCTGCAAGCAGTTGCGCCATTCGCACCATTTTCTCCTTGGCTCACTCCTTCCTCGATGTCTTAACTCTCGCTCACCACCTACGCATCGCAACCGTAGCCCCTGTCACTGGCATCACCCAGCATCGCCTCCTGCACACGTCCGTGGCGAACCGCGACGCGCCGAACGTGCCCGACTTCTCCAAGTACGAGGCCAAGAGCGAGACGACGAACCGCGGGCTCGCCTACCTCATGATCGGCTCGCTCGGCCTCCTCTCCGCGTCCGCGGCCAAGTCGACGGTGACGGAGTTCCTCGCGACGATGTCCGCCTCCGCGGACGTGCTCGCGATGGCCAAGGTCGAGCTCGACCTCGCCGCGATCCCCGAGGGCAAGAACGTGATCATCAAGTGGCGCGGCAAGCCCGTCTTCATCCGCCACCGCACCCCGGACGAGATCGAGGAGGCGCGGAACACGGACTGGAAGGGCCTGCGCGACCCCGAGGCCGACGAGGCGCGCACCAAGAAGCCCGAGTGGCTCGTCATGCTCGGCGTCTGCACCCACTTGGGCTGCGTGCCCATCGGCGAGGCTGGTGACTACGGAGGCTGGTTCTGCCCGTGCCACGGCTCCCACTACGATATTTGTGAGTTTGGCGTATCACGGCTCTAGAAGTTATATCGCTTACCATTCATTACTCCCGCCCAGCCGGACGTATCCGCAAGGGTCCTGCCCCTGTGAGTTCGCTCGTCTTCCGACATGCTCTGCAGTTGCCTAACCCATCTCCGTCTACAGCTCAACCTAGAAATTCCTCAGTACGACTTTATCGAGGACAACAAGATGATCATCGGTTGATAGACTTGGCGTCGCATATTCGTAGAGCGTACAATAATCTTAATGTTGTTACGTTCCTAACTATCCTTAACCCATGTATCGTGCATGGTTACGTTGAGTGAGCACACACATTGCACGGCATGTGTCAACACAACATCACATTGTCAGCTACAACTATCGGTCCACAGCGGCGACGGCAACGAAACTCGATATAAGGTTTTATATAGTGAGGGACAGAGCAAGATACTAGAGCAGACAAATCAAGGAGAGATTCGGAGACAGACGCAGGGACACCAAGCCCATATCAGAGACATTGGATGGTATGCGAACCAACCGCCGCCCACTAATAGAGGCCTTTAAGTGCCCAACTGCCAGACGACAAGCCAACAAGCCTAGAGCGCCACACACAACTCGATCGCGCCAACTACAGCGAGCCAAGACGACACAACGAAACATCGCATATACCACGAGAGCGCATAGAGAGGCCGCGTATGGGTGCTGTGACTACATTTCCGAGCGCGCTCTTGCGCCAAGACCATGCCCAGCTCAGGAGCGCCGGTAGCCGCCAGCGGGCTCGACCTCCCGAGAGCGGGGAGGTGGGTAGTCTCGAGTGCTGCCAGAGCTCCTAGCAGGTGCGCCGTTGGAGTAGCCGTTGGTGCCGTAGCCTCCAGAGCTGCCGTTGTAGGTTGCACCGCCAGTGCTAGTGTAGCCCGCCGGTTCGTAAGGGGCGCCAGAAGCGGAACGGGCAGGGGGGCTCTGAGAGCGACGCCTGTAGGAGGTCAATTTGTCAGAGACAATCGTGTCGCCATCCGGAGCGTAGGCTGTACCTGTAGCGTGGGGCCTCAACGCTCCCAGTACGCGGGGGAGGATAGTCGGCATAACGAGCCGGAGAAGCGGCTCTACCGCGCGTCTCAGAGGGAGGATATTCGCTATTCGGTAGCACAGGTCAAGGCACGGAAGCATTATTGGTTATGACAGTAACGTACCGAACAGGCGGACGATCGTAGTCATCACGAGCAGCACGTGCAGGCGGAGCACCGGGCGGAGTCCTGGGCCTCACAGACGCAGGAGCCGGGTACGTACCATACCTGTCGGGAGGAGCTCCCGTCCTCCTATCATAGCGGTCGTAGTAGTCCCTGGGAGGCGGAGGAGGGTAGCCACGAGGAGGGTAGCCAGGGGGAGGCACAGCTTCGCCCTCAGGATAATAGCCACGAGAGTCAAGACGAGCGGGAGGGGGCGGAGCACCCCTCATCCTGAAATCGTCGTAGTCCCTAGCAGACCGGATAGGCGGCGGGGGGTAGTCGCGGTAGTCCCTGGGAGGCGAAGGCGGCCGCCCATAGAAGCCATCCCGCCTGGGTGGCGGAGGGTAATCATAGTAACGAGGATCTCCAGGAGGCGGGTAACGCGGGTAGTCACCACGGTAAGGATAGTCCCGCAGCGGAGGCGGGTAGTCCCTGGCAGCCGTGAGACGGTCAATGAGTGGAGGTTCACTTCCAAGATGGCTCGGACGACGCCTGAGTAATCAAGCAAGTGTCTCAGTGACATCATCCAACTACGCTACGATGCTTCCGAAGATACATACCCTGCGGCGAGATGATTGGGGCACTCCCTGGTGGAGACAAGTTGAATTTCAACTAAGACAGCAACAACTCTGACCGCACGCTGACCTTGCCCAGTGACCCATTTGACCGCACTTGAAGCAGGCACCAGGGTCGCCGCTGTACTTCGCAGTTCTGCCGCCACCATGAGATATTTCGACACGAATCTTGTTCCCCATGAAGTAGCCCTCGTGGTATTTGGCCACGCTTTCTTCCGCAGCTTCGCGACTATCGAATTCCTGTCAGAAGACGGCGGTCAGGTCGAGAACTCTATGGCCAGACGGTTCTTGCCACGTACCACAAATCCGTACCCCACCCTATTCACACGATGCATCGCCTTGGTTAGTGTGACTGCCTCGCGCGCGTAGACCGAGCGCCAACTCACTTGAGTTCGATATTCACAATGTTCCCAATCTTGCCGAAGCAACTCTCCAGGTCCTCTTTCCGGGTGTGCTCAGGGAGACCGCCGATGTAGACTTTGTTCAGCTGTAGTCCCAGAGGAGCGCAGACGCGAGAGCGGATGCCCAGAGACGAGCGGTGCATGAGAGCAGAAGCCGTCAGCGATATGAATCAAACCAGAAGCCAGCAGAGAGGACAAATAGCAAGAAGAGCGATAGAAGGCAGAGCGGCGCTCGAGAGAGAAGACAGGGGCGCTTTCGCCGACAGATAGCCAAGATCGCATTATGCGGCCTCGAAGGAGAGGTCCCATACCGCACCGTACCGTAGCGGATGCTGCGAGCCCATTCGCGGACGATGGTTGCCATGTCACGAAGCCCTGTGGGTCCTGAAAAATCTCGAGCGGGACATGGCAAGCTCCAGCCACGAGTGAGAGTGCGGTGCAGCATGAGAGGTAAGCGCGAGGAGAGTGTGGTGGACGAGGAAAAGAGCAGGGCAAAGGGCGAGCCTACAGGGCAGAGGACGATAGGAGAGGTAGAGAGGAGAGAGAGAGAGGATAGGAGGGCAACAAACTGAGGACAGAAAAGAGAGAGACCGACTAAGCACCTTGACAATCTTCTCGCCGCGCTGAGCAGCGTCCGAGCGGGCAGTGGCATCCCCACTATCTGTCCCGTTGCCATTGACGGAGCCAGGGGCTGGATATTCAGCCCCCTCCGCACCCGGGACGGCACGGTCATCAGCGGGAGGCGCACCGCCGTTGAGGTCCAAGTCCCCGCCAGGACCCATGTGGTCGCGGGCGGAGTCGTCCATAGGATTCCAACTGTCTGAGTGCTTCACAGGTGCACGCTCGCTATCTGTATGGGCAGCGAGAGGAGAGGCGGCCATGCAAGACGATGGTGGTAGCAGGCAGGGAACAAGCGGCGTTCTGCCAAATTTGTGGCATGCTTTGACGGCCGACAGCGGAGAATGCACCCTTTGCTCCGACACACCGCCTCGGCCAATCGCAGAACCCCGGAGCGCCTCATGCCTCCCGCGTGCCGAACCAACAGCCGCCCGTTGGCCCTCGTATGTCCCCCACTCCGGACCACCCTCTCACGCAAACAACCCAGAAATACCGCCGCGAGCTCGTTTATACGCCGGGCGCGCCCTATGCCGCGCACCGAATGACAAAATGCAATCATAGTATCCCGGGCGACGGGACAAACTGCGCGGTCGCCATGAACTCACCCCTACCGAACGTTCTCACATATGGGCGCCAATTGTGGTCGCGCTTCTCGTTTATTTGAGCTTCCTTATATTTGATCCCCCCCGGTACACTCAACGCCTTTCAACATTTTTATTCTCCACGTGGGATATGCCCGTGCTTCGTGAACGTTTCAATAGCTTTATTCCGATCTAATGTGGCATGAATGACGACAAGCGCAACCTGTGTCTCTCTAAGTTCAAGCTCGAATCTCTGCAGGCGGCGTCATGTATTTAACCAGATGACATTTCGTGGGACCCGCTCAGGGCCCAGCCGCTCTAAGAGTGTACTGTGCGTCAGACCCGTCCAATATGGTTTGATCCTCTCAGCATCCGGATGGTACCTTCATACTACACCCGCCCAAGGCGCCGATCCTGTCGCTGACAGGCCCGCAAGCACCTTCCTCCCAATACATACAATTTGTCCTTCGAGCGTCCTCGTTTGGTCTCGATCTTTGTATTGTTTGTATTCAATTGCTAGCAGCGCATGTACAATACGTCGGGGACAATCCATAGCTACAACAATACTACGAACGAAGGACATAGCGCCGAACATGCCTGCGCCGTGCACGCCCTCCGCCGCAGAAGTCTACTAGTAGGTATGTGATAGATACGTTGGCATGGACGTCGTAACTAAGGGAGCCCGAAGCTATCTCAGCAAAAACTTCAGAAATACACGAGGGACAGCAGAGACGCGAGAGACATGAGGGACGAGACGATATGAGAGAGGAAACAAAGACGCATATGTACGGCCCTATAATGATATGCGGGAAGGTCAGCGCGGTTGGGGATGTAGGATGCATGGATGTAGGATGAGGTTGCAAGGGTTGCAGTATTAGGTGTTTCGCATTGGGATGGGTAAGCGCGGATTAGAACTAGGGGAGGTGACGCATTCAGTAAAAGGACGGAAGTGGTGATGCATGGGTGGCAGTCTAAGTCTCTAGGATCGATGTGCACGTGAACCGAACGCAAAGGAAACCCAGGATAAAAACTAGGATCGAGACAGAAACCAGAAGCAAGGACGGGGATGGGGCGTGTGCCAGCATAAAGCAAAGGGTTCAATGAAAAGACAGCGGTGAGAACGCGTGATCGCACATCACCACCAGACCGAATAGAATAAAGGTCAAGCAAGCTCCGAACGACAGAAGAGCAGGTGGGGCACACCGTCCTGGGTGATGAACAGGAAGAGTTGGGTGGAAATGAAAACAAGCAGCCCCGTCGACGACCACAAGCGACCACATCACCACGCACGAGTAGCACGTCACGCACGATGCGTCACGCCATCTCCCGACATCCCACACCATCGCTCGTCACTTCCGCCCAGCGCTGGGTGCCCGACGAGCATAAGTACCCCGGCCTAACACCCATCAGTACTTGCCGCTCAGTTGACCACATCCTCGCTCCCCTGCGCGAACGTGTGCTCGCGCCCCAAGCGCCAAGGGCCTCAAGCCGATCAGGCCCGAGGCGCTTACCAGCCCCACAGATCCTCGCTGAGCGGATCGACTTCAAGCCATGGGTGGTCGACCATGTCTCGCGCGTGCTTGCGCTCGCGATGGTCGATGGTGAGCATCGGTTCGAGGAACGAGCAGAGCGCCTCCGCGTCCTTCTCCGACCAGAGGTATTTCTCGACCATCACACGTTTCAATGGCCATGGCTTCAAGCTCCGGATGTAGCGTAATGAACCTGTTAGAAGGTTCGAACCAAATCGTCAGTAAGATCAAGGTTTCAGGGAATGCCACAAATATGGAAAGCTGAATGGGAAACGGCGGCTGCAGCTGGAGGAGGCAGGATCCCCGAACTGGCAACATGGACATCTCGGTATCAGCGCGTCGATCAGCCCTCATGGACATCGACATCAGCGCGGGCTCCACAATGGGCCTTCGCTCTGGCGTTCCGAACGAAGGCAGTCCAATAGAGTAGACGCAGTGCACTCGTGCGCTCGTGCTTCGCATCTGCCTCCTCCGAGCAGCCATCCCAATCCGGTATATGCCGCAGCAACCGTTACAAACCAGATATAAAAACCACCGCTCCCCAAACAGCGTCGAAGGACAAGAAAGCCCCACCACGTACCTGAGCTGTCGAACAGGTCCCGGCTAAACCTCCCGTTCCACTTCGTCTCGCCGTACTCGCCCAGCAGCTCGATGATCTGCGCGATGTGGTCGTCGTCCTTGCCGAACAGGTCGCCCTGGCTCTGTGGGTCGAAGAGGTACTCCGCGGTGAGTAGCTCGAACACGACGCAGGCGACGGACCAGATGTCCGCCGTCGCGCCCCAGTCTGTCCGGCCGACGATCGCCTCGGGCGAACGGTACTGTCTTGTCTGGATATCCTCGGTGAAGTGCTTGTGAGTGGGGGTCGCATTCCCGAGGTCCGCGATCTTGATCGAGATGGGAAGTGGAGGAGGCATGGGGGTAGGGTCTTGTGAGCATACGGAGTGAGCGTCGGCAGATGGACGAGAGGAGGTGGAATGTTGTGAACATATGGATGAGGTCGAGGTTGCTAGGTCGCGAGGTGCGGTCTGGGTGAGTAACGATGGACCAGCGGCGGGCCGTGTGGGACGCTCTGGACGCCGTTCATCGTCTTCTGCGGCCGACTCGACACCGCATGTGCAGGTGCAGTTGTCCTCCTTCGCCTTCTCGGCGGAGGTGAATCTCATCTTATCGACGGCGCTGGCGACGCTCGCGACCGATGTAGGAGGGGTATCGTTGCTCAGTGACGTCGCCACGCTCGAGGATACCATGACAGAGTCGTAGGCCGAGCTAGAGCATCCACTCCTGCTCGAGTCTGAACCGTCTGGCGTCGATGAGGTCGACTCAGCGAAGGGGCCGGTGGTTAGAGCGAGCTTGGTTACGCTCTTTCTTCGGACGTCGTTCATTCTCCTAAACGAGGATGGTATCGACGCGGATGCGCTCTGTGCGGAAGCGACACGAGTGATATAGCTCAGGCGTGCGGGGGAGTTGGGACAACTATAGGAGGATGGGCTGGAGAGTGGCTGCGAGTCAAAGATCTCGACTTGACGCTCACGAGTGCTCTTGTGGCGTGGTATCGCAACTGAGGCTCGTGTGAGTTGCTTAGGAGGGACGACTACCTTCCTGGATGTGGGTGAAGGGGAACGTGACAGCTCATCCTGGATGTGAGCCTCTACGTCCGGTATCGAGATAACTAGAATCAGCACAGTTAGCTTTCAAGCTTCATGAGAGGAGAACCCCGCGCCCCGCGGAACCACTTACGTATATTCTCCGGCTTTATGTCGGTATGGACTAAATCACATTCGTCGTGGAGATATTGCAGCCCAAGAAGCAGCTGCTTCGCGATGACCCTGACCAGGTCAACAGCGACGCCAGTCTTCTTGTGGCGCTCGATGAGCGCAAGGAGGTTCTCGCCTAATGGCTCGAACACGAGGCATATGTGGTTGTCATCGGGAGTCGGGTGCTCGAAGTGGTCGAGGAAGGAGACAACGTGATGACGCCCTGGATGCGATATGTTTGCGTCCATTACTTGGCGCAATAGTTTGATTTCGTCGCGGGCAGTCTCCGCATAGCGGCCTGCCGACTTAACCACCTTCAAAGCAGAGTGTTTGCGGGTACTAGGTAAGAACCGTTAGCATACAGGTGGTTCGAATGTATTGGCGGTAATTTCGCCACACGAGCCACACCCCGATGCAGGACGGGATTAGGCTCGCATGGCATTCCCCAACACGCGCGTAATCCTCTGGATGAGGGCGGAAATTCGCAGAGTAGACCCATCGCTGTGAGACTGCGAATGTCCCCTCGCCTGCGTTTCCAACGGCCCGATTGTCCTCCATTCTGCCCGAGTATGAGGGCGCGAACGGCTCCGACTCCTGGCGAAACCGTCAGAATATACGGACCTGGGTCTGCAGTGCATGATGTGAACCTCAGGAGCTGGCGTTTCGCCACCATACGACGGGATATATTGACGAAGAATGACAAAGGACAAGCGAGAGGAAAGTATGCAAGGAAAGTGGCGGGTCCAGGGTGCAAGGCGACATGATACATTCGGGGACACGAACGGTCGGGGCAAACGCTTCAGATATCCGCACGCTCGGGAACGAACACCCGTCGTTCCCGACGTTGCAGATAATCAAGACGGTAGAAGAGGGCAAGAAGGGAGAAACTCACTGATTGTCCTTGACGAGCCATACAGTCGAAAAGTGTCCCCAGCTGATCGTGTGATGTGAGCATGCCGTCCAGTGACTATCCGCGGAATGCCAGCAGGCGCACCGGGTCGACGGGAGATGAAGGAAATTGGCTCACCCTAACTTGCGAAGGACGAGGTATCTTCCGTCCTTGAAAGTATCGCGAATCTTCACCTGGAGATAACCTCCAGTGTTGTAGTCGGCGGGAGCCTCCTCGTCCTTAGAATAGGCATCTGGGACAGGTACGATCTTGGGCCCCGAGGAAGTGACGACGTATTGGTATTTCGCGCAGGGCTGCTTCGGTGCCATGTAGAGAAAGGAGGGAGAAAAGAGAGGAAACACCGAGTGCCGGTGCAGCGATGTGGCAGGAGCAGATAACAACCCAACTGTCCACTCTTTCTCCCTGACCACTCCAATTACCTCAGCATCCCATTTCTGGAACCCACCTGCATCCCGCCCTTATCGCAGCCAGCCCAGCCAATCACCATGCAGCGATTAGCCCGGGAAAATCCCGCGCTACTCCCCATTGGGCCCGTTACGTAAAGGCCCTCGCCCCTTCCACCTTCGCCTCCCCGCGTTCTCCAGTCTCCCCGGCTGCTCCCGACCCACCGCCCCTTGCGGGCAATCATCTTCCTGCCAACACTGGGGAAATGTCGCGTACATAGGAAACCGTCGGACTTGCGTTCTGTGCCTTGTACTTTCCCCATTTTTCCGATCGTCTTTCCGACTTCTGCGCAACGCTGTGCTTCGAGTCAAGCCGCCGGCAGAGTCATCCAACGGCCATCCGATTGTCAGCGGTCGCATGCTTCGCGATCTGAACTTCTTTCGCCGGTCGTGTTCAAGGCTCATTAGTAAGAAGCGCATGTACATTCACCCACCGCAAGCTCAGAGACCGGTCATACTGATTTTTCTTTCATCCTACGCCGATCGGTTTCATCCCAGGCGGAATCTGCATTCCGTTCAATGCATCTTCAGCGTTTCTCAAATGCCCATACTTAACTGACGCGATCACGCATATCGCTGCAAAACCAAAGCATGCCTCCTGAAGTCTTTGCACAGGCAGTTTGAAATGACCTCCGTCGTCATCGTTCCGTAGCTTCTAACACTACACTTTCCTATTCTGTGCCCTCTAATTCCGCACTTTTTCACACAGCGCTCGGAAGGACCTTACAGGTTCTAGCTGTCATATCGATACTCACTGCTTCTCGACTGCCTCGGGCCCCTCTTCATGACAAACGCCAGGGAGCAAGATCAAGATGTGTACATTCCGTCGCCACATCGAGTATCTGCGATACCACTCTGCGGGCAGGAGGTCTTCCCTTGAGCTTGAGCTTGAGCGACATCCTATATGCCATATGACGTGGCTCAAGCCATCGTGAGACATTGCCAAGGTCACGATTCAAGGAGGTTTCTTACGTGCTGACCAGGTGCTTGATTATGATGTGTAGGTGCTCGCCTGCAGCAGTCATCTGAACCGCATGTTCGAAGAGCTCGGTAAGGCTGGAGGAATGGTCCCTTTCATATAACTCTTCTACCGACCTGTTGAGTCGTCTAATGTCCGCGCTAATCGGTATGCACAGTGGTTGACTAGTGCGAGTAAGCTCACCCATAGCGCTGGTACGACGATGTTAGGGCCCTATGGATGGCCTGAACAAACATCACTCTCCCCCCAGACCAGGCACAGCTGGCCACTGTGCCTCTATGACGGAAGACCAAGTACAGCATCAGTGTCTCGCTGACGATGTTCAACGACGATGCAGATTCTGGTCTTGCAACGATCACTCTGTGTGCTCGTTCGCCGTATTCACGAGTACCTCCCAGGTGGTTTGTAGTCCTTGATCGTCACGTCTGAGTGGCGCCCTGAGAATTCGAACTCCCAGGAACGGGCTCTGGGGGCTGCAGTGAAATTCCGCCAAATTCGCCTTCGGACAAGGTTCAGCATCAACAGCTAGGCGAACGGAAGATATGCTCCCAATCCTCATCCCGATCCGCATTGATCCCGTTCGCTTTCCTACTTGTCTTACGGATGTTGTCCCTCTCATCATGCTCTTCTTGCAGCTCCGAAGCGCCTATCGGTCTGCCCACTATTCTTTCACGTGATGAAAAGTACTATGTGCCGACTGTTTGGCCCGATCCCACAGCTTGTCGTCAAATGTCTTTGAGATGACTCTTCGAATGTTCCTTGGGCTACAAGGTGGCTGCCATAGCTTTGGGAATAACGAGATGGCGGCGATCAATCTTGGGTAATGAATGTCAGGAGAGAGAAGTCGAAAGTCTGTGCCGCCGCCGACACGAGCCTTACGTGCGTCACGGCGACGTTGACGCATCTCCTTGCGCTCTCTCCTCTCCATACTGCGCTGACACCTTTAGGCTGTAGTACCTTTGCGTTGCGTTTAGCTTGATTTCTGCTCAAGTGCCCCATGCCAACTCACCGATCGACATGTCATAGTGTGGGCTTGTCATCCTATTAGTCCCTTACAGCCACCTACCACGTTGTACAGCTGACCACCCAACCATACTATAGTCGATAGTCTTTGTAGTTTAAGGCCTACCATGAGGCACGGCCTCGCAGGGCAATAAACGGGATCTAGAAAGAAAGAAAGAAAGACATGTTGGAGTTTGGACGGCGAGGCAAGCGTGGTGCGAGCCTCGGCCGTGTTCCGGGCGGACAGTCTAGTCGCGCCGTTGACGCGTCTTGTCGCGCCTTGTTGCGCTCGCATAAGTTTCACCTTTGTTTTGTTCGTGAATACGACGACTCATTTGTCTTGTACCGGGAACGTCTTGTCCCAGTAATGTACTTATTCCCTTCGATTTACGTTGGCTCACCTCAGTCCCGCGTACGACGCGTGCTGAGGTGAGTATACGTTTGTTACTTACTTCGTCTACTTATACTGATTAACATCCCGTAGTGATTGTTCTACAGGTACTATTAATACATATCAGTCCCGCGTACGACGCGTGCTGAGTGATTGTTCTACAGGTTATGAGCCCTGCCTCCTAAGGCAGACTTCAGACAATCGAAACTTACCGCTCTCGGCAACCCTTCTCCTTTCCCGATATGGCATCTATCAAGTTGAACGACGATGTCGTTCGAGTCCCCAAACTCGACGTCA